GTAATCTTTTATTCGCAAAGGTGTACGGCCCATTATCCTTCCGACTGTTTACGGGCCATTTTGCCCCGGATCCATGCCCCGGGAATTTAAATCCATCTTGGACTTTCACTCCATTCGTCACCGTTGCATTCACGCAAAGGTATTCGTCCATCCATTTTGGGCCGATGGCTGTATTGGACAAGAATCCAACCAGTCCATCCGTGGGTGTATGCGACATGGAGAAGAAGGCGTCCATTCGTTCCCAGGTCCTCACGAGAGACTTGATAATCTCCAGCTCCTCCGTCAGGCGGGAAAAATATATTGTGCTGATCGTTGCAGTACCCCTCGCCTCTGCAAGGTGCAACGCATCACCTGAGTACAGCAGGGTGTTGGCAGTCGCCTTATTCTCCTTATCGTCCACAGAAAGCCGTCCAGTATGAAACGTGCGGTTGCCGTCCGTCGCCCAAAGATAGAACGCATTGGGTAAACCACGCTCCCCCGGAGGGTACCTCCCCTTCTGAGTGTACAGAATTAAATTATTTCCCCCAATGATCGCAGTAATGATGGATCCCAAAAGATACCTCTTGCCGTAAGCGTCAGGTGGCGCGTCTGTCGACAGCCATGAGAGTACCCCGACAGCCTCCGTCCACGATTTCCCCATGTCATTCGACTCAAACACCTTGCGGCCAGCCAAACAGTCAGTAACCATGAGAAGTGTCCCATAATCCCATTCGATGATGCGGGGGCCAAAGCAGTCCACAGGAGAAACGCCCTTTGGGACCACCCAGCTGTTGCCTTTATCCTCCGAATAAATGAGCAAGGAGAGAGGGTAACCATTTCGATTCCTCGCTGTCAGAGGAAACACAATCGTGCCGTCGTACATCACAATGCCTGAGCCACCACCACCCACAAATTCCTTCAGTTCACTTTTGAGCTCTTCGGGGATCAGTGATATCAGTGATATGGGTGCAGCCCATTCGATCCATTCACCCCGACCGCTGGATAAGGAGTGCGTGGCCTCACCCACAAGCATTCGAATATCCCAGCCAACCTCCTGCCAAATATTTTTAGTAGCGTCAAATTTTATACTATAGCTTCCCACAAGTAGAAACGCCTTATTGTCCACTCCAACTGATGTGGGATTTCGCAAAACGCCCACAAGATCATCGCCATTCCCATCGCCAAGGACAGTGTGTGCCCTCCATTCCGTGCTAGTGACCTCAGCGACAATGGATGGCCACGTCTCCGCAGCGCTGATGTACCCAGCCACAATATCGGCAGAACCAAGCTCACTCGATGTTTTGTGCGATCCAGTATACTTGATCCAACCCTCGGCAAGCACAGTCATTACTCCACCAGCGCGGACGAGAGAAGGAGCGGCAAATGAGTTCCTCGTTGTACTTTGGCCCTTCCCACCTTTTGACACCACCAGCGTCTTCTCTGGCACAAGAATAGCAACCTCATTCGGCAGCTGCGCATCCCCCGAATTACTCTCCACCGCGTGCGCAGCTCCACTGCCACAGCACATCATCACGAGGAGGAGGAGCACCGCGGAAGTAAACACACGCCGGGACATGTTGGGCCTCTGCGGCTCACCCTCTCCTCCTTCCCTCCTCCTTCCGCTGGATCCGGTCACGCGGCGACGGTTGTGTGTGCGGGGTGCCTTCACCGCAGCAACACGTGAGAGCATATAAATGTGTGTGTGTGTTGTTGGTCCTTTCACTGCCTTCAAATTTCACAGTAGCGTTTAGCGCTTGGTAGTAACTTCCTTCTTGGAGGGGAGCAACAGGCAACAGCGGCAGAAAGGCAACACAACAGCAGTACACACCGCCACCACTCAAAGCAAAACACAAAATCACCATCCCCGCAGCCATTACTCCCCAGTACCCCCATCAACAGCACACAAAAAATAAGAAAAACAAGTGGGCAGCCTCCCAATGGGGTACCGCAGGCCATGGCGCTGCAAATAAGCCCAGCGACAGGGAGCCATGTGTGCAGTGAGGAACGCGAGAGTTGCACTGCAACGGCACGGCTGCGTGACACCCCGTTGGGAGCATCGATGCAGACCAGCACGTCACGTGCAAGAAGAGTTGCTTCTCCCGCTCAAGAAAGAAGAAAGACCAGCCTCAGCGTCCCAATAACGAGAGGTCGTCTGCACCTCCTCGCAGCACCTGCAAGCTCGGCAGACACAATGATGCAGGTGACGCCCTCCTGCACGCATGGCGGCCGCTGCATCCTTCACTACGGCAACCGCATCCTCTGGCACCACGCGCCGCGGTGGGTGCGCACAGTCTCCGTCTCACTCCCTCCTGTCCCTCTCCCTGAGATCTCATCGGTGGACGTGGCACACTCACAGACATGTCAGAAAGCAATTGTGTTTCTTCCTCCCTCGCACACCGCACAGCAGCACCGCCAAACGCATGTCGCTCCTCCTTTCGTGGATTCTCCTCAGACACGCCTCCCGCCACATTCATCAGCTCACAGGCACGCAGTCCGTAAACGTCACACTGCTGCTCCGCATGACGGTGCCGCACACACCAACACGGCGCCTCGCCACTCGGCGCAAGGAGTGTCTGGACACACAGAACAGGTTGCCCCAGCGAACAACAGCCCCCTCCAGGCAGTGAGACAGGGCTCGTCAGTAACAATCAAACAATCAGCCCCTCGTCTCTTCATTCCGCCATGCACGAGGTTCTGCTTGCCTCATGCATCATCCGTGACGCCCGGGCTCTCAATGAGCGAAAAACGCTATGCTCCCCTCGGCTCATTGAGAAACCCTCTGAACATTCTCAGCCAGTCGTCGCCATGTGCCATGCATAAGGAGCACCACGGCAAGAATGCACAGGAGCTTATATGCAAAACCCTCAACTCATTCCGCGTCAATGAGGAGTGTGGCATCATACATGCGTTTCACAACAATGTCGACTTGCTCTTCCCCGAGAGGCCTCCCATACACATCGCACGTGATCACAATAAAGAAAAAGTAACGCCTCCAGTCAAACCGTCATTCCGCGGCGGAGGCCAGGGCACAATCCAACAAAATACGGCAAATCGTCATATATGCCACAAAGGCCATCGGCGGCTCATGAGGCAAATGCACAGCACGGAAGAAGAGTCATGCTCACAACACACGCAACGCACAGACACCGAGAGAGTTGGGGGAAACAGCACTAGAGCAACCTCATTCAACCACCGACAGAGGAGCTCGTGGGCGCTGCAGCCAAAGCCATTCTCTGTGGATGCAAGTGATAACAGCACCAAACAACGTGAAGCGCCAGTCGGGCACCACATATGGGCCACGGACACCACCCACCCACCCATTCACTCTTCCTCCTCCCAATGGCGTGGCCCTCCTTCACCTCCGCAAACACGTTTGCTGCTCAGTCATGCGAGCCTCAGACGCAAGCACTCAAGTGGCGTTTCGGCAATCCAAAATTCAGCACCTCCGAATGGCAGTGGAAATGCTCGCAGAGGCCACACGGCTCCTCAACGCAGCCTCAACCCTCCTCACGACTCTTCAATGCGACGGAGAGGAATACAGGCGGCTCTCGTGTCACAGAAGACGGCCAATGGGAGCGCTGTCCACATGCAGAAAATGCCGAGGTCTGAAACAGAGGAGAGAGGAGGTTCGCAGAGGGTGTCACCTGCCACGCCTGACGTGCGTCGTCTCATTTTTGCAACGGAGAAGTGATGAGACGGTCGTTTCGGTGCCTGTGTCTCACACTCGGGCCAATGAACGCCTCAAGGAACATCCGGCAGAGGGCATGCGGCTGGCCGTGCAAACAATCCCGAGTCTCGCCGACGTTACCGCGGCCGCCGTTCCGGCGAGGCGTCGCTCTCCTTCTTCCTTGTCTCCCGTGCGTCATCCTCGTATGGAGGAAAACGCCCTCCACGATTGGTGTCATCAATTACCTCCAAATAACGAAAAGGATTCCCAGCCTCGAGAAAAAGCCCCCAAAGTGGCAGTCAACGTGAGCCAAACAATGCGTGTGGCCTTCCGCAGCCGCGTGCATTGCAACTCCCCTCAGCTGCCCGGTGCTTCCTCCTTCTTTGTGGACCCAAACCGCATAGTACACTTGGACTTGCTCGGGTCCTCCACAGGCTCATGTAACCGTGTCCGCCACGCCCGTGCAGCTCGTGACAGCATCACGTCACCGTCCACTTCTGCGGCACCGAATAACGTGAAATAGGGATCCAAAACACCACATCCGTGAGGCGAAAGCACATGCATCGCTCCAACGAGTTCCCACTGTGAGAAATCACACGGCGGCACGCACACTCTCGCTCTCCCATCAAAAATTTGCCGTCAACAACAACAACAACGGCATTAAGAAGCAATGCTTGGGGCAATCCCTGAGAGCCGTCCCCACCTCGGCGACCGACCGACACCGGGAACCCGGCACTCTAGTGCCGTTCCGGGAGGGACTCCTGCCACCGCCAACCGTGTTTCCCTGTCGCGTTGACACACAGAGCCTTTTCGCAAAACGACGCGCTCCATTTTAGAACGTGCCTATGAGAGCGCAGGCAACAGGCGCAGGGCGCACCATCGCATTGTCCCGTCACAAAATAAAGAGAGAGCATCCGTGCCAATTTGCCGCAGTGCTCACGGATGTGCTTGAGCATTTTTTGATATTGTCTTTGCTCGCGCTCGGCACGTGTGTGTGTCGACATAAAATGTGACATTGCGTACGACACAGTTGCCAGCTGTGATCCGATGTATGTCAAAGACAGACCTCGCGCTGCACGCATAAGAGTCACGAAAAGAAAGAAATATACTCATTCATATGAGCGCATCGTGGTAGAGTCGATTGCCTTCCTGCAGAAAGCAAGTGGCCATCCCTACGTCCCTCTCATAAACATGTTTGGGAAAATGAATGGCCGATTCGCTCTCCGCAGCGCAGAGCTTAGCGCCTTGTTGCATGTGCACGTCCGTCACATTGTGTGGTAAGAAAGTGTCCTCCGCAAAGACGCGGGCAGTCGCCTCACAACAACGGCAGTAGCAGCCGACAGACAGTCGTCGTTTCAACCCATTCATGACTGCAACATGGAGAAGAAAGAAGTTTACCGCAGTGTGTGCAACGCTCCTCAGATTATTGGTGAAATCACACTGCTGCAGAAAACAGCAATGATGCGGCAGAAATACGCAGATGAGAGATCACCTTCTCTCCCTACGCGTGCAAAGGACGAAATCGCTGGATAAGGATTGAAGTGCCAATCAAAAGCGCATTTTTGGCGCCAGTAGATCTAGTCACCCC